GAGCCAAACCTAGGTTTGAAATAAATGACTCTTTGCTTTTGCATCGGACTCGCTGGCTCCCTGGTGGGCTCTTGGGAATCTTGAAATCTGGGCACAACAGTTGTGTCAGTGGTTACACAGATGTCATTTGTTGAAATGTATAGAACTGTTTCCCTCAACATGATGGATTTTACTTATATAAATTGTACCTCAATATATAAAAAACATTTATTCTATACTTATTGCCATAAGTCATCAATACTCAGCTTTTACTTTTGTTTAAATTGCTAACTTAATGCATGGCATTTGATAGTCAGTATATAGTAACCTAAAGTATTTCTATTTTTCATTCAGTATGAAAAATCTTCTCCTGTTATCCACTAATAATTTTCCAGAGAACAAATATTTGTGTTTTCTCCTCTACTTCCTAATTGTGTCAACTTATTTTCATTTGGCATTCCATAATTAAAAATGAAGAAAAAATGAAAATGAAAGACATTATAAAAACTTTCGTTAGCGTATTTTGACAATTTACTATAAGCTGAAGTAGAAAAATTCCTATAAATATATTCACACAAATATCCAGTATTTTATTGTATAAGATACAACTTAGAGTGCTCCTAGAAAGTCAGCCTAGAACCTCAAACTTTTTAGGCTAATACTTAAGAAAATATTTGCTTGATTCAACATTAAACGAGTTTCAATCATCTTTGGAATTACTTTATATAACGCTGAGGCCAATCACTGTGAAATGAAACTTAGAATTTTGTCTGATAAATTTTGTTTCTAATTCTATGTGCATAATAATTAGCTTTTAGTTATTACACCATATATATGAATAGCACTTATTATTAAACATGAGCCATAAGAGCCATATGTAACCTGTACATACACTGAGCAGAGAAATGAATACAAGAAAATATAACACTTGTAAACATATATACACCCAATATAGGAGCACTCAAGTGCATAAAAAGCTCTCTTTTTTATTGTTTAAAGTATTACAAATAGTAGTACATATGTCTCCTTTTTCCCCCATGACCTCCGCCTGGCCTCCCCCACCCCTGGCACATGCCCTCAACCCCTCCCCCCTAGTCTTTGTGTCCATTGGTTATGCTTATACACATGCATACAAGTCCTTTGGTTGATCTATTACCTCCCCCTTAAAAAAAAATGCTTTTGATGGATTTTAAGGGAGAGATTAACAATAATACAGTCATAGTAGGGTGCCAGAGTCCATTCATTGTCTTCACTAGCTGAGTTTAGACAGAGACCCCCCAAAAAGCTAGTAGCCCTTGAAAGTCCTAGTAAAGGTCAGGTCTTGAAAGTCCTAGCAAAGGTCAGGGCTGTGCATCACTCAGTTAATTTAGGTAATAATAGTTGAAGCATCCCCACCTTAGTTCCCTTAATTCCTTAGATACTTATGAACATTTCCAAATTATCTCGTGTCTTTTTCTCTCATTTGTAGTGCGGCTCCTCTTTCAGATACCGAACCCTACTCCACGCTGGACGTGGAAGGAGACTAACTCAGCAGTAGGGGACTTTAGCAGCCCACTGACATCACTGGATAGATCTTCCAGACACAAAATTAGCCAGGAAACAGAGGCCTTACATGACACACTAGATCAGGTGTATCTAACCAATATTTATGGAACATTTCACCCCAAAGCAACAAAATATACATCTTCTCAAGTGCACATGGAACATTTTCAAAGATATACCACATGTCAGGGTACAAAACAAGTCTATATACATTCAAGAAGATTGATTTAATATTAAGCATCTTCATGGATCACAATGACCTGAAGTTAGAATTTAACTACAATAAAAACATTCAAATACACGGAGGCTAACTAACATGTTATTAACAATGAATGAGTTAACAATGAGATCAAGCAAGAAATTAACTACTTCCTGGAAACAAATGAAAATGAACATACAACCACCCAAAACCAATGGGACATGGCAAAAGTAGTCCTGAGAAGAAAGTTCATAGCACTACAGGCCTACCTCAAGAAACAAAAAAAGGGACCAATAAACTATCCATGCCTACAACTAAATGAATTAGAGGAAGAACAGCAAGAAAATCCCAGAGGAAGTAGAAGGAAAGAATAATAAAGATCAGAGCAGAAGTAAATGACAGACTAAAAAAAAAAAAAAAAGGAAAGAAAAAAAACAGTACAAAAGACCAATAAATCTGAGAGCTGGTTCTTTGAAAAGATAAACAAGACTGATGAATCCCCTAGACAGACTACAAGAAACAAAGAGAAAGGACCCAAATAAATAAAATCATAAATGAAAAAGGCGATATAACAATGGACACCACAGAAATACAAAGGATTGCTAAAAAATACTATGAACAACTATATGCCTGGACAACCTGGGCAAAATGGCAAATTCCTAGAAACATACAATTTTCCAAAACTCAATCAGGAAGAATCATAAAATCTGAGTAGGCTAATAACAACTGATGAAATTGAAGCAGTAATTCAAAAACTCCCAGCAAACAAAGCCCTGGCCTGGACAGCTTCACTAGAGTTTTACTAAACATTCAAAGAACAACTAACATCTGTCCTCCTCAAACTATTCTGAAAATTCCAAGAGGAAGGAACACTTCCAAACTCTTTTTTCGAAGCCAGAATTATCCTAATTTCAAAACCAGATAAAGACACTACAAAGAAAATCACAGGCCAATATCCCTGATGAACATAAATGCTAAAATCCTCAATATAATATTAGCAAATCAGATCCAGCAATATATTTAAAAGATCATACACTGTGATCAAGTGGGATTTATTCGGAGGATGTAAGGCTGGTACAATATTCACAAATCAATAAATGTGATACATCACATAAACAAACTAAAATATAAAAACTACATGATCAGGCCTAGCTGGTTTGGCTCAGTGGATAGAGCATCGGCCTGCGGACTGAAGGATCCAGGGTTCGATTCTGGTCAAGGGCACATGCCTGTTGATTTCCAGGACGGGGCATGCAGGAAGCAACCGATCAATGATTCTCTCTCATCACTGATGTTTCTATCTCTCTCACCCTCTCCCTCCCTCTCTGAAATCAATAAAAATATATTTTTAAAAATGTATTAAAAAAAACACACATACACATGATCATATCAATAGATACAAAAAAAGCATTCAACAAAATACAGCACCCTTTTTTGATAAAAACTCTCAGTAAAGTTGGAATAGAGGGATCATGCTTCAACATAATAAAGGTATGTATGACACACCTATGGCCAATATAATACTCAGTAGGCAAAAACTAAAAGCATTTCCATTAAGAACAGGAACAAGACAAGGATATCCACTTTCACCACTCTTATTCAACATAGTACAGACAGTCCTCAGATTACATCGGACTTGACTGACATCATTTCATGGTTACGTCACCATCTCCCATTTATTTTTTTTTATTTTTTTTTTAAACTGTCATTTCGACGTATGTACATATATGCTTTATGGTTTGTATTATTTATTTACCACAAGTAAAAGTCAGGAATTATCTTTCTTTTAAATATTTTTTTTTACTGTTTCACTTCATTACTGCTGTGTATGTGCTCCATGAGAGTGACATAGGTGCTTATGTAGGTGGGTTCCAACTTACGGTGAAAATTGAGTTACGTCGCACCATAAGAACGAATCTCTGTTGTAACCCGAGGACTGCCTGTACTGAAAATCCTAACACACCAATCAGAAAAGAAGAAGGGCTAAAAAGCATCCAAATGGGAAAGGAGGAAGTAAAACTGTCATTAATGACAGATGACATATTGTACATAGAAAACCCTAAAGACTCCACCAGAAAACTACTAGACTTAACAAATGAATTTGGCAAGCTACCAGGATACAAATTCAACATCCAGAAATCAATGGCATTTTTTATACACCAATAATGAACTCTCAGAAAGAAAAACTAAAAAAGCAATCCCTGCCCTAACCGGTTTTGCTCAGTGGATAGAGCGTCGGCCTGCGGCCTGAGGGGTCCCAGATTCGATTCCGGTCAAGGGCATGTACCTTGGTTGCGGGCACATCCCCAGTGGGGGGTGTGCAGGAGGCAGCTGACGGATGTTTCTCTCTCATCGATGTTTCTAACTCTCTATCCCTCTCCCTCTCTGTAAAAAATCAATAAAAATATATTTTTTTAAAAAAAAAAGCAATGCCATTTACCGTTGCAACAACAAAAAAAATTAAGATACTTAGGAATAAATTTTACCAAGGAGATAAAAGACCTGCACTTAGAAAATTTTAGGACCTTGATAAAGAAATAGAGGAAGATACAAATAAATGGAAGTGCATACCATGTTCATGGATTGGAATAATTAATATCATTAAAATATGTATACTATCCAAAGCAATCAATAGACTCAAGGCAATCCCTAATAAAATACCAATGGTATACTTCAAAGAGCTAGAACAAATACTCCAAAAATCTATATGGAGCCAAATGGGACCCCAAATAGCTGCAGCAATCTTGAGAAAGAAGAATGAAGTAGGAGGGTTCACAATACCAGATATCAAACTATACTACAAAGCCATTATAACCCAAACCTGCCTGGTAATGGTACAAGAACAATGGATAAGAACAAAGAACCCATAAATTGACCCACACCATTATGGTCAATCAATATTTGACAAAGGAGGCAAGAACATACAATGAAGTAAAAACAGTCTCTTCAGCAAATGGTGCTGAGAAAAATGGACAGACACATGCAAAACAATGAAACTAGACCACCAACTTATACCATACACAAGAATAAACTCAAGATGGGTAAAAGACTTAAATATAAGGCATGAAACGATAAAAATCTTAGATGAGAAAATAGGCAGTAAAATATCAGACATCTCACATAGCAATATGTTTATGGATACATCTCCTAGGGCAAAGGAAACTAAGAAGAAAATAAACAAATGGGACTACATCAAAATAAAAAACTTCTGTACAGCAAAACAAACAAACAAACAAAAAACAACCATGGTCAAAATGAAAAGGGAACCCACTGTTTGGGAGGACATATTTGCCAATGATACATTTGGTAAGGTGTTAATATCCAAAATATATAAAGCACTCATACAACTAAACAAAAGAAAGACAAACAATTCAATTAAAAAAATGGGCAGAAAGTCTGAATAGATATTTCTCCAAAGAGAACGTACAAATGGCCAAGAAACATATGAAAAAATGCACAGAGTCACTAATCATCAGAGAAATGCAAAATAAAACCACAATGAGATATCACTAACACCTGTCAGAATGGCTATCATCAAACAATCAACAAATGACATGTGCTGACAACGATGTGAAGAAAATACTAGTAATACTAGTACACTGCTGTCAGGAATGCAGATTGGTGCATCCACTAGGAAAAACGATATGGCGTTTCCTCCAAAAATTAAAAATGGAACTGCCATTTGACCCAGAATCCCACTTCTGGGAATATATCCTAAGAAAACAAAACACCAATTAGAAAAAATATATGCACCCTTATGTTCATAGCAGCATTATTTACAACTAGAGGCCTGGTGCATGAAATTCGTGATGGGGGGGTGTGACCCTCAGCCCAGCCTGCACCCAGCCTGGGACCCCTCAAAGGATGTTTGACTGCCCATTTAGACCCAATTCCGGTGGGATGACCAGGGGGCAGTTGGACATCCCTCTCATAATCCAGGACTGCTGGCTCCCAACCGCTTGCCTGCCTGCCTGCCTGATTGCCCCTAACTGCTTCTGCCTACCAGCCTGATCACCCCCTAACCCAGCCGTGGGCAAACTACAGCCCGTGGTTCAGATCTGGCCCGTTTGAAATGAATTAAACTAAAAAAAAAAAGACTGTACCCTTTTATGTAATGATGTTTACTTTGAATTTATATTAGTTCACACAAACACTCCATCCATGCTTTTGTTCCGGCCCTCCAGTCAAGTTTAAGAACCCATTGTGTCCCTCGAGTCAAAAAGTTTGCCCACCCCTGCCCTAACCACTCCCCTGCCAGCCAAATCAATGCCTAACTGCTCCTCTGCTGGCCTGATTGCCCCTAACTGCCCTCCTCTGCTGGCCTGGTCACCCCTAACAGCTCTACCCTGCTGGCCCGGTACCCCCTCCCGCAACTGCCTTCCCCTACCAACCCGATCACCCCCATGGCCTTCCCCTGCAGGCCTGGTTCCCCCAACTGCTCTCCTCTGTAGGCCTGATCACCCCCAACTGTCCTCCCTTGTAGGCCTAATCCCTCCCTACTGTCTTCCCCTGCTGTCCTGATCGCCCACAACTGCCCTCCCCTGCTGGCCATCTTGTGTCCACATGAGGGTGGCCCTCTTGTGTGTTCGAGTGATGGCCAATTTGCATGTTACTCTTTCATTACATAGGCTAACTAAGATTTGGAAACAGCCCAAGACCCCATTAGCAGATAAATGAATAAAAAAGCTGTGGGATATTTACATTAAGGAACATTACACAGCTGAAAAAAGAGGGATATTTTATCTTTGGGACAGCATGGATGCACCAGGAAAATATTATGCTAAGTGAAATAAGCCAATCTGAGAAAGACAAATATCACATGATCTCATTTATTTGTAGAATCTAATGAATTAAATGAATTGACCAACAAAAGAAGACCCAAAGAGAAAAGATAAAGCAAAGAACTTGTATACTTATTAGAGGCCCGAATTTGTGCATGGGTGGGATCCAGCCAGCCCCACCCCAATCAGGGTGGGGGGGCCGATCAGAGCTGGTGCCACCTGGGGGGAGGGGCCGTGGGAGGTTGACTGGCCAGTGGGAGAAGCTGCAGGAGGTTGGTTGGCTGGCCCTGCCCTCTGCAATGTGCATCATTGCGATCAGTCATTCCAGTCGTGTGGTCGCTTAGGGTTTTATATATATAGACTAGAGGCCCGGTGCACAAACATTTGTGCACTCGGGGAGAGGGAGGGTCCCTCAGCCTGGCCTGTGCCCTCTCACAGTCTGGGACTCCTCGGGAGATAACGCCCTGCTGGATTAGACCTGCTCCTGGGTGGCAGAAGGCAGGCCCAATCCCTAGGTGCAGCCCCTGGTCGTGCTTAGAGCAGGGCCAATTGGGGACTTGGGGTGCTGCCCCCTTTCATGCACAGAGCAGGGTGGATCTGACGTTGCAATGCCACCCTCAGTCATGCGCCGATTGGGGGGTTGGGGCACCGCCCCCTGTCACAATCAAGGCAGGGTCGATGGGGAGGTTGCAGTGCCACCCCCTGTCACGCACAGAGCAGGGCCAATCAGGGGGTTGGGGCACTTCCCCCTGTCATGCACAGAGCAGGGTCAATCAGGGGGTTGGGGTGCCACCCTCTATCACCCACAGAGCAGGGCCGATCAGGGAGTTGGGGCACCGCCACTCTCACACTCAGGGCAGGGCAGATGGGGAGGTTATGGCTCTACCCCGTCACACACAGAGAGGGCCCGTGGGTGGGGGGGTGAGTTGGGGCACCACACCCTGTCACACACAGAGCCGCAGGGCGATCAGGGGGTTGGGGAGCTCTCCTCTATCAGGCACAGAGCAGGGCTGATCAGGGGGTTGGGGTGCCTTCCCCTGTCACGAACAGAGCAGGGTGGATAGGGAGGTTGTGGCCCGGCCCCCTGTCACACACAGAGCCACAGGGCGATCAAGCGGTTTGGGCGCTGCCCCGTCGCACTGATCCCGGTGCCAGGAGACCTCGTGGCTCTGCCGATCCCAGTGCTGGGAGGCATATTACCCTTTTTACTATATAGGATAGAGGCCTGGTGCACGGGTGGGGGCCAGCTGGTTTGCCCTGAAGGGTGTCCCACATCAGGGTGGAAGAATGTTTCAACCTGCAAGCTCAGAGGCGGCAGCTGCAGGCAGGGAACGTTGGAGTCCTCCGTCACTGAAGCAAGCAAGCCTCATGTTAACTTCAAGCTGCCTGGCTGCCGGCCGCCATCTTGGCTGGCAGTTAATTTGCATATCTCCCTGATTAGCCAATGGGAAGGGTAGCGGTCGTACACCAATTACCATGTTTTTCTTTTATTAGATAGGATATGCATAGCCCATGGACACAGGCAATAGACAAACCAGAGACGTTATAAACTTATATGCATAGCCATGGACACTGGTAGTGAAGCCCTGGGAGGGTGGGTAGGGGCTTGGAGGAAAAAGGTAAAGGCGGGGGATATATCTGTGATACTATCAACAATAAAAACATAGTTTCTAAAAATATAGTACAAGTAGAGGTGACATAAAATGCTGGGACAGATAAGTAGGTCAAGTACTATAAAAGGATTACTTAAAAGAAAAAAATCTGATGTCTACCTTATCTGAGTTCCTATTTTGGAAAAAAAATCATGGCAAAATTTTGTTGATTTGATTTTTTTGCATGATATTGTATTTCTTCTTACTTAATATATGGTTTGCTAATAATTTTTGGTTCCTCAAGGAGTGCCCACATTGCCATTGTGTCAAGTGTTTACATGGTTTTCAAGGAGAAAAATGTGTGCCTGTCCTCAAGTATTTCATCTTCTAGGACAGAAAAACACCTAAGTGGTAACACCCTCGCTCTCGGAGTTTAGTTTGTCCCAAACAGTGCTTTCAAGTCAAACAGATTGCCAATATTTTAGAAGTGGGATGTTTTATAAGAAGACTGTTGTAATTGCAACCATCCCTGTGACAACCTGTTACACACAATTCTAAAGCTGTCAGTTACCACATATTATTTTATACCTATTTCTCCCAATTCAAATCTTTTTCCTAGTTCCCATAGGCATTTGGGTTTGCAATTCCTTGTGCATATTCCCTCAGGAATTGTAAAGGGACTGAGATTTTACCCTACTCACAAGCTAACAAGTTAGCCTGCCACTGTTTTGTAGACATATACTGGCAGAAGACACCAAATTTTTACATAGAGAGACAGCAGAAAGCATCAGCCCAAAAAATGCCTTCCATTGGTTCCCATATTTCCACAGGACAACATGATGAAGGCCAGATTTTTTCCTGAACATGCAGTGGGTTGCACCAGAGAACAGGAAACCCTGACATCTGCTTACCTTCTGAGAGAGAAAGAAGAGAAGAGGGGAGGGGGGAAGGAACAGAGAGAGAGAAGGTGCTTACTTTGAAACATAAGCTCATATTTCAGGGTAAACACTATTCAAATACACCTGTTTCTAAGAGCTTAAACTGTGCAGAACACAAGAAATCCATAAAGAACCATCTCCTGAAACTAATCCTATATGATAAAAACCTAATATGAAAATTGACCGAATGGTGGAACAATGGGTCGCTATGATGCACACGGATCATCAGGGGGCAGATGCTCAACACAGGAGCTGTCCCCAGCCTGTAGGCCCCAGGCTACCAAGGCAAGTGCCAGCAGGGGGGGGGCCCAATTGCCCCGCCAGTCACCCCGCAGAGGGAGGTAACTGGCGGCAGCAGGCAGGGTTGGGAAGTGGGCGATGCCAGGCCAGCCGAGGTGGGTGCCAGTGGGGCCCCCTGATTGCCCCACCAGTCGCCCCGTAGAGGGAGGGAACTGGCGGCAGCGGCGGGGGATGCGCGGCGGGGGATGCGGCCAGCGAATGGGCGGCACCAGGCCATCCAAGGCAGGTGCTAGTGGGAGCCCCCTGATCACCCCACCAGTCGCCCCACAGATCATCCCTGATCACCAGCCAGTCCTAAGGACCCCACCCATGCACAAATTTGGTGCACCGGGCCTCTAGTACAAAAAATAACATTAAATGTAAAAAAGTCAAAAAATTTAAAAAGTATATAAAATAAAATAAAAAATTTTCTCCCAACAGTGCAGATGCATGGTGCTACATTGCTGATATATTTAAATCTGTAGAAGAACCATACACCTTAATGTATATGTAAATTGAAATGTTTACATCAATTCAGCCTTCTTTCCTCTACCATAATAACTCATTTTATAACACTCTGAACTGAATGAGTCTGATTTGTTAGTCTTTCAGAGAAGGCCACACACCTGTGCCTGGCCAATCTCCTTTCCACCCACAATTTTTTTTTTCCCCATGAGTTTCTGCTGTATTGAGGATAGAGATATTTTTAAAAATCAAGGAGTAGGGAATTTTGGTGGAGGAAATAAGATCATTCAAAATTTCATTGCTGTTTCTTTATTTAAATAGAATTCTTTTTGTTATTCTTCTTGAATGAAAGAGAAAGAAATCTAAAAAAATCACCCCACGTATTCAGGTCATATGAGGTTTATTTGTTTTCCATGGTCTTTAAAGTGATGGGAAAGCATAAAGGTTATTTCAACTACATTTCTGTGTTACTTTAAACATACAAGAAGGGCCAAAATCTGGATGATTTTTCTTCCTCCTCCAATATATATAACAATGCCTCTCTGAAACTTGCCTAAATGGGTTTAAAAGAAATAAGTATTGATCAATTTGTAACTAATTTGCTACTTGAAATTCTGCAAACTCACATGCTATTTTAAAGCATCCTTTGGGGACTCATCTATCATGTAACCCACTTCACATTTCATCTATTATTTGAATGAGGACAATTAGTTCTCCAGTCCTAAAAATGTATATGGGATGTATTTGATTGGAGGTTATAAAAAGCATTTAATTGAAAATAGCCTGATCAATATTACAGAGAAAAAAGTAAAGGAGATAGAGATTTGCCCAGCTGGCATGGCTCAATGGTTGAGCGTCAACCTATGAACCAGGAGGTCAGGGTTTGATTCCCGGTCAGAACACATGCCTGGGTTGCAGCTTGATCCCTAATGTGGGTAGCCAATCAATGATTCTCTCTCATTATTGATGTTTCTATCTCCCTCTCCTTCTCCCTTCCTCTCTGAAATCAATAAATTTATTTTTTAAAGAAGATGAAGAACTATTGATTAGAAAGTTCAAAAAATTGTGTATTTATTATTTTAAATGATTATTAAGGTATATAGTAATAAGATTTTAATAGAATACAATATAATACTGTCCAAGCAATTGGTTCACACATGCCAAAATAAATTCTAACTTAAGAAGCATAGTTCTAAAATTCTTATTTTTTTTTAATCAACAGACTCATTTTTATCCTCCACACTACTAAAGATAATATTTAAAGGAAAATGAGTAGAACTATAGTTTGTAATTTTATATACAAGTACTAGAGTCCTGGTGCATGAAATTTGTGCACTCGGGGGGATCCCTCAGACCAGCCTGTGCCCTCCTGCAGTCCCGGAGTCCTTGGGGGATGTCTGACTGACAGCTCAGGCCCGCTGTGGGCCTAAGCCATCAGTTGGACATCCTTAGCACTGCTATGGAGGCAGGAAAGGCTCCCACCACCACTGCTGTGCTTGCCAGCCATGACCCTGGCTTCTGGCTGAGTGGTGCTCCCCCTGTGGGAGTGCACTGACCACCAGGGGGCAGCTCTTGTGTTGGGCATCTGCCCCTTGGTGGTCAGTGCACGTCATAACGCAGGTGTGTGCAAACTGTTTGACTTGAGGGCCACAAGGTGTTCTTAAACTGGACCGGAGGGCTGGAACAAAAGCATGGATGGAGTGTTTGTGTGAACTAATATAAATTCAAAGTAAACATCATTACATAAAAGGGCACGGTCTTTTTTTTTTTTTTAGTTTTATTCATTTCAAATGGGCCAGATCTGGCCTGCGGGCCGTAGTTTGCCCACAGCTGTCATAACGACTGGTCATTCCGCCATTCAATTTGCATATTAGCCTTTTATTATACAGGATTTTACAAAAATAATCACATACCCCTCAGGCTTTCTCTAGTTCAATATCCTGTAATACCCACCCAGTGGATACTGTGAATTAAAGAATCCATTTCAAATCTCAGTTTAGAAGTTACTACCTCAGAGAAGCTTTTCTCTCAATCACTCAAGCTGAAGCTACTGTATAAACTTTTCATAATTTTTAATTATATTTGTGCAACTCAATGTTTGGCTGCCTCCTTTTGGAGACTTTAAGGACAAGCTCTGTGAGGCTAACTGAGGGACAGAACACTGTACACACAGCACCTAGCACAGTGATGAGCATGTAGTAAGGACTTGCATATGTTAGGGGAAAAATGAAACTTCCAATTTCAACTAAAACTTATGTTACTCTTTTTTTTTAATTCTTTATTGTTGAAAGTATTACATATGCCCCTTCCCCCCC